CTTCGGTCAGTCCGCTCTTGATGGACTGAACCTTCTCAATCACCGTACCCATAAGGATACGGTGTTCTTCCACAATGGAAGCGCCCCGTAGCGCTGCCAGTAGATTATCCGGCGCCTCTGGTTGGACAGAGATCACCGGCGGGACGGGCATGCCTCCGTCTCTTGAAGGAGGTTGTTTGTCGGATTCCGAAACCTTATGGGTCTCCGGATCCGTGCTCGGATGGGGGCCAAAATGAGCATGGCCCCTATCGTTAGTCTCCATGGGGGTCTGTTCCCCCATGTGTTCGGCGACCGAGGTTTCACCCTCCGGCGCCACCATGACGGCCTCCTGAACCTTTCCCTGGCCTGGCAAGGTCCTTTGGGACAGCACCTCATTGTCTCCCTTGGCCTTGGGAGAGCAAGAGGCCGGCGGTGACTCACTGGCCATCGCCTTTGAATCAAATGAGCCTCTTGATGAGGATCGCTAGGAGCTGCCGTGGGCCGGACTGCAATAACATGGTTAACCATATTAATACCATAAAGTGGAGAGGCCGGATAAATGGACGCGTGCGGATTCTTAGTACTCACGATGCGGCGAGGGGCTTGTTCCGGGGGCATCCCTCCGGACTACTGTCAATGTCCCACGCGGAGTCATCAGGGGGAGAGTCGCTCTCCTCCTCCTCCTCGTCGTCGTCGTCTTTGGCAGCAGAGGAGTGGGTCTTGTCTTCGGACGTCACGTCCAAAGCGCCCTTGCGGCGGGGGCCACTCTAGACCCCCTTGGCCTTCTTCTTGGCACTACAAGAAATATGTCAACCAGTGACCTTCTGTCAGTGACCCTGGAAGAATTGGTCATAGATCTATGACCATTTGAGACCAATTGGTCAAAAACTGTTCGGGGGGCTCCAAACCCTAAACCATTGCGACCATTTTGGTCAGAAAGGTCGTAATTTCCTTACACGAAATGGTCATAAAGCAGACAACACTAGTCCGCTGCCTTATTTCTAGCTGATCATGACCAATATAGATGGTCATAACCTTGTAAATTGTGGTGGGTTGGTATGACTTGGCGCCACCTCATCAGTTTTGCCTATGTGTCATGTCCATGTGTCAATTTTTGCCCTAGGTTGTGAAGCAACCTATATTTTGGTCATTCCCAAAATTTCCAAAAGAATCTCATAAATTCTTTGGGTCATATCTTCATCAAATATGTAAAAATCCTTCCTTGCCTAGTTCAAAACTAATTCAACAATATTCATTTTCCTATTCTGTTCACAACAGCACTTTATGAAGTGCTATTTGTATATTCTTGATTGCCCTCGGAATTTTTGGGCACTCTTTCCTATCCAAATCATTACCGCATGACAAAATCCAGCTCCATTTTCCTAGCAAATCTTCCTCGGCAAATTTCCAAAGTTTTTGTCCACCTAGAAGCATTGTGAAGGAAGTACCTTTTTTATATATCGAAATGACATGAAATTTAATACAGTTCCTTCATATGCTCAAATTATCATCCTCCTCCAAATTTCAGCTCAGTCAAATCATCTATGTCAGCCCAGGTTCAATTTATATTTTATGGCCAAATTGGCACGTTGCAAAGCAAGTGTTATCTAGACCCCTCCTATTACCCTCAAACTTTTTGGGCACTCTTCCATACCCAAATCATTGCCACATGATAATATTCAGCTCAATTTTCCTAGTAAATATTTCTCAGGAAATTTCCAAAGTTTCTACCTCGGGAGAAGCTTTGTGAAGTAAGTACTAGCTAGGCTTACCAAAATGATCTGAAAATTTACCAGCACATTACCATACCTATGTAACTTACCTACACCAATTTTGAGCTCATTTCATTCACCCAATATCTCTCACTAGTTTTCCCAATTTTTTGTCCATAGAAGAGCATTGTGAAGGAAGTACTACTTTGGCATGTCCAAATGGTATCAGTTTTCTACAATGCTTTCCTATGCCCAAATAACCATCCTCCACCAAATTTTAGCTCAATCCATTCATTATTTTGAGGCCACCTTCAACATTCATATTTTTGTCCAGTGTGGTACTTTACAAAGCAAGTACCACCTAGGATCCTCCTTTTGAGCTAAAAATTTGTGAAGACATTCTCCTTAGTAGATGATCACCCTCAGCCAAAACTCATACCCATTGGCCATGTGCATTTCCCGTAACGCTAATCAAACGCTTGGCTGCTAATTCATCTTTGAGCATAGGTCAGTCTCCTTGTGAGATTCTTCTGTTGTAATTTTCTTCCTAGCACCTACCTGGGGACTGCCCAACCCACTAGACATGCCTAGGCCTCCCAGAACGCATGTCAACGCCAAGCTCACGCGATGACCACACGGCGGGCATGCGAGTTTACGCGCTTTGGAGTTGGGGCCCTGGGCCACATCCAAACCTCGACGTATCGCCACCAAACCATGTATTTATGATTAAATAGATACTTATGTAACTGGAAATGATTTTTGGAAAAAATAAAGAGCAAACAATAAGGTAGATGCAGTTCAAAATTGACCCGCTTCCTACTGAATCGGCAGAAATTTGTCTTTTTCACAAGTGGTGGATCAAAACTTTTGACACCAAACTATTTTGTCAATTATGCATTAAATATGGCCTAATATTTTATAAAAATGATTTGGTCCAATTTTGCAACAAATATATGGTAGGTCCTTCACAAAAAGAACTCAATTCGGGCACTCGGAAAATGGAAAATGATTTTTCCGTGCAAAGAAAATAAAAAGTCCCTTAGGCAACATTGTTTGGAATTCCAATATGCACCCTTGTGCACAATATGAGATCATTTGAACAAACTATGCCATGAATGTGGCCATAAGATTGATCATTTGGCTTGAAAGCCATGAATCTTCACGCATGATAGCTCATTTCTGAGAACACTTTTTTAAAATAATTGCCGTATTACAAGTTTATTATTTTTCCTGGTAACTTTGCCACATATAATGACACAATGCGAAGGTTTCCCAATTTGTTTTGATTTTTTTCAATTTTTTATGTCCGTTTCAAAATGCGGTCAAAACAACGGGAATGACCGTTCCTAGCTAGTGGTTGAATCTTGGAATTTTTTTGATTTTTCTCTGATTAAATAGATACTTATGTACCCATAAATGATTTTTGGAAAAAATAAAGAGCAAACTACAAGACAGCTACAGTTCAAATTTGACACGCTTCCATCTGAATCGGCGGAAATTTGTCTTTTTATGAGAGGTGGATCAAAACTTTTTACACCCAACCATTTTGTCAATTGTGCATGAAATATGTCCTAGTATTTTATAAAATTGATTTGGTCCAATTTTGCAACAATTATTTGGGAGGTCCTTCACAAAAAAACCTTCTTTTGGGCACTCGAAAAATGGAAAATGGTTTTTTCGTCCAAAGAAAATAAAAACTTCCTTAGGCAACATTGTTTGCCATTCCATTATGCACCCTTGTGCACAATATGAGATCATTTGAACAAACTATGCCATGAATGTGGCCATAAGATTGATCATTTGGCTTGAAAGCCACTGATCTCCACACGTGATAGCTCGTTTCTGAGAACACTTTTTAAAAATAATTTCCGTATTACAAGTTTGTTATTTTTCCTGGGAACTTGACCACATATAAGGACACAATGCGAAGGTTTCCCAATTTTTTGAATTTTTTTTGAATTTTTTATGCCCGTTTGAAAATGCGGTCAAAACGGCGGGAATGACCGTTCCTAGCTAGTGGTTGAATCTTGCAATTTTTTGGTGTTTCTCTGATTAAATAGATACTTATGTACCTAGAAATGATTTTTGGAAAAAATAAAGAGCAAACTACAAGGCGGCTACAGTTCAAATTTGACCCGCTTCTAGCTGAATCGGCGTAAATTTGTCTTTTTCATGAGAGGTGGATCAAAACTTTTTACACCCAACCATTTAGTCAATTGTGCATTAAATATGGCCTAGTATTTTAGAAAAATGATTTGGTCCAATTTTGCAAAAATTATTTGGGAGGTCCTTCACAAAAAACCTCCTTTTGGGCACTCGAAAAATGGAAAATGGTTTTTTTCGTCCAAAGAAAATGAAAACTTCCTTAGGCAAGATTGTTTGCCATTCCAAGATGCATCCTCGTAGACATATAACCACACAATGCGAAGGTTTTTCATTTTTTTGTGAATTTCCTATGCCGATTTCAAAATGTGATCAAATTTTCCCGCATGACCCTTCTTAGTTAGGTGGTTAATAATGCAAAACTATTGGTTTGTCTATGATGAAATAGCTACTTTTGTATCTAAAATGATTTTTTTAGAAAATAAATAGCAAACTATAAGATACCTGTAGTTCAAATTTGACTCGTTTCTTGCCGAGTTGGCTGTTTCTCAAGATACCTAGAAAGATCGGAAATGCAATCAAATTGATGATCATCCATGAAAGGTCGTCTAACTTAAGTGAAAATTTTAGTGATGCCATTTTGCAAAATATTTTTGGTAGCGGCCTCACAAACCACCCTTGTTTTTAACACTAAGAAGGGTAATTTTTAATAGCTCATTTTCGAACCAATCAGGATGCAGCACACGGATCACCCCACTGTATTCGATCTGAGCCGTCCGCCTCCTACTGATCCAGCGTCTCTCCCTTTCTCCCTTGACCCCCTCCTTCCCGAGAAACCCTAGGTCAAGCGTTGCCGTCTCCCTCTCCCCGATCCAGACCCCTCCCCCGCCGCCCCTCTCCTCGATCAAGATCCCTCCTCCTCCGATGCCCTCCCCTCCGCTCCATCCTCCCCCTCATCGACCACGCGCACGTCCCACACATCGACCACGCCCTCCCACCCACACATTGCCGCCGCCACCCACCGTCCCGTCTGACCTCGCCGGCGCCATACCCCGCCCCGTCTGACCTCGTCGCCGTTCACCGCTCCCGGTCTCTCCCCCCCCCACACCCGCCGCCCCCTCCCTCTCCTCCTCCCGTCAGAAGAGAAGAGGGATCTCGCGCGGATCACACCACGGCGTCGATCTGGACTTCCGTCTGCATGCGGGGATGCGTGGAGCAGGAGGGGTGGCCATGGTGCTCGCATCGGGCTCCGGCAACAGCGGCGGGGGGAGCGACTTCTCCGTGATGGTGATAGGCTTCGACTTTGCGGTGGACGCTGGTGCGGCGCTCCTCGCCTCCCCTGTCGACCGCAAGGAGTGGCACGACTGCGTCCACGACCTCGACGACGACTTCTCCGACCTCGAGGAGCTCCAAGTGGTCCGCGTGCAGGGCGTGGACAGATCCGACCGACCCGTCGTCCATGTCGTCGACAAGTTCTTCTCCGGTGCGCCAAACCCCCTCCCGTTGCTTTGCGTCCTATCCTCATCCTGGGATTTATCGGGTGGTGGTTGGGGATTGCTGGTGCGCGTCTAAGGTTTGGTGCGAGTCATTCCATGAATTCTTTGCTGTTAGCTCGTAGCTGCATTTCTTGAGTTGGTATGAAGTGGAAAATGCATGCTATACTTAGGATTTCAGCATATCTATGTCTCAGCAATTAGCTAATTCTACATTGTTGGAGATGCACCTTTCATGATTGTTCATCTGGATAGTAATCTGCTTTGTCTGTGGCTTCTTTGCTAGTGGTACCATGCCCTATTGGTCTAGTTTCAGGTTTCATGACAGATTCGTTTTGTACTACTTATTTCTCATAATCAGTTGGCAGCATACCATTTTGTAAGGAAGCTAGCACAACAGTTTGTATGTTACTTCTTTGCTGGTAGTGGATGATTCCTTTCCATGTCATATTGGTCTGACTTCCCGTTGGATAACCAACTCACTCTCCTGCCGTGCTCGCTGCTGCTATTTAGATTGAGAGAGAGGGGTGCTGATTAGTGTAGTTTGTGATTGAGAGAATGCTTGCTGCTGCTATTTGTGCTTACTGATTGACATGCTGCTATTTCTACTTGTTGATGTTATTGTTGCCATCCGACACATATTGTTGTGATCCGTAGCTTACTGCCTTGCCTGCAGGTGTCGTGCTGGCGACCGGGTTCGGAGCACTTGTATCAAAGGTGGCTGAGCACTGGTACGAGGTCTACAAGGTGGACAAGCAGGGGGCCAACCTCTGGTTCATCTACTTGTGGGAGGACAAGATTTCTTCTAGCTCTGAATGTTAGGATGGTCAATGTAATAGTCCAGTCTATAGTGTAAGGTTTTGGATTGGAAACTCAGTGTGAAGTTTGGCTCTTAGGCTTGCTTTTGCTGCCATTTTTTATTGATGAATGCATTACCTTTTCCTGATTGATCCAAAATGTCATCTTATCTCTAGCGCAATGGGAGTTAAAATCTTTGTTCAGACAATATAGTTTATGTTATGATAATCACTGTATTGTTTGTACTATGGAATTTTCATTCTGTAATGGGACTGAAGTTTAGCTCTTTGGCTTGCTTTTTCTGTGCCCTAGAGACGAATACAGCGGCCCTAGAATAATACCTGCCGCTTTATTAGCACTTCCAAGTAAGCGCCGCTCTCACTGTTGCCATCTACAAGTTGCTGAGTGTGTAGCAGCATCATGTGTAATTAGGAGTAGGACATGGTCCTCTTGCTTGTGCTACACAAGGATTTGTACTGCATTGCTGCTGAAACTGCTGAAACATGATGCTGCGATTGCCATTTTTTTGTCTTAATGCCCATCTGTTGTTATTTGCTTGGGGTGTTTTTCATTAAAATACAAATAGTGGTTGTTCTAAAATTCAAGCTATTGAAGAATGATGATAAAATACTTTTTTAAATAGTGGGCTGTGGCTTAGTGTAATTGATGTACTAGTGCACTGCTTGGCGTAAAATTATAGCAGTACACTTAGATATGCAATGAAATGCTTCTAGTATCTTACACATGTATATTTGACATGAATGTGTATTGCTTGGCTTAAAGTTGCAGCAACCATGTTTTCTGAATAACTATAGATGCTTTCAAAATCTGCAATTTATTGGCGATGTTACCTTATTATTTGCTCTCTTTAATTGTTTTTGTAGGTCCATGACATCTCGCTGAACCACTACACCTGGCTTGCTCACCGGCGCGCGCGTGTGTGCTTCGATGCACGACGCTTCGTCGAGCTGGCCGGACCGCGGCAATCCCCGGAGCTGGAGCGGGAGGAGGCAACGAGATGCTGTTGCTGCGGTTGCGTCCTCGGAGGCAGCAGCTGCCCCTCGCCGACCTTACCAACCTTCGGCGTCCGCCATGAGCTCCGCACATGACCCCTTCTACATCATCCGTGAGGAGATCCAGGGCTCGGTAATCCCCCCATCCCCATCCCCCTCCCTCCCCTGCGCCCCTTTCTCTTCCTCTAGTTGCAAATTTTCATATGATGCAGCTGTTTATTTGGCTGCGCTGTGTCTTACTGCCAGCTGAAAATTGCTTCTGTATTTTCTACTCCAGTACTATGGCTGAGGCAGTCACCAGCTTGGTAGGTAGTACTAGCTGCAAAAAATTTATAGGCTTAGTTGCTGTATTGGTTCTGTTGTTGTATGGGGATATATGCATAGATATGTAACATGTGGGTTCCAAGCATGCTTCCGAGAAAAAGTAAAATTATATATCCAATTTAAAAATTGTACATCTGCCGTTCTTGTGGAATGCAAGTTATTTTAGGTAGTAAGAGTGTGCAGGGCAGGTCATCAAGTGCACGGCTGCTAGTTTGCTTACTAGCTCTATTCTATTGGGATATGTATATGCATGTGTGGATTTTAAGCATGGTTCCTATAGATGTGATAAGTGCATACCATTGCAACTCCTCTTTGTCTGGTATTATAAGGCCATTTGATTGAATGCCTGAAGTCAATGTGCTTCTAAGTCTCATGTAGTTTCAGAAACAGATGCATTTATCCATTTCTTTGTCTGCTCTTGTGAGCTCTTCCCATTAGGAAACTTGGCTAGCTGCCCATATCATTTGATGAACTATACTATTATCCACTGCTTTTAATCAGCTGATGATGCATATTCAGTTTGCCTGATTTTGTTACATACATACATACATGGCTTTGGTTTGGTCTAGCAACTCAATTGTGATGCCATTGCTGCTGCTGTGTAGAACTTCTGTATGTTTAGAGCATGCATCCTAATTGTCAATCTCGAGAATGCACTTCTGTATGTTTTTGATGTCAAACACTTATGCATGACTAATTGTTAAGTTGATACAATTTCTTTAGTAGACAAGCTTGGAAACTTAGACTACAGACTATTAAACTGCTACTGATTTAGACTACAGAATTTTTAATCTTAGACTACTGGTTTATCTATGTCTCATATCATGGATTTGACCTGTACCATGCATTGGACATGTGTTGATACAATCATATAGCTTATCTGATCAAACAATCTGTTCATGTTATGTTTACCTGCTGCTCTTATACCTTACCAAAACAAAATAATTCGAACTAGTAGCTTTTTGTTCAGATTCTATATTTATTACTGCTGACATATTGTCGTGATTTACTTTTTGTATTGAATATATCTTTCTGATATTCGCATGTTTTAGCGATCAGCCATAGCTCTTTCATCAAAGGTGCATGGTGTAACCGAGGACAAGCACTTCATGTCCAACCAAGGTGCATGGTGCTTGCAATTGACGAACAGGAGGTCTATGAAATTTGAAGTTCAAAGCCGGATAGCCCTACTCAGCAAAGAGTCGTCTCTTTTGTTTGACTGTAATAGACTGTAAATATTGTTATATTGTAATAGTAGGCATATTTGGGTTGTAATAGAGTATGTACAGATTGTTGTAGACTTAGTTAGTGTTATTTGATGAACTACATTTGTACTGTTCCGTTTGAAATATTGATTATGTATGTGATTTGAAAATGTGTGGAATGGAAACCTGACTTGTGGGACCCACTTATGAGAATAATCTGAGCAATTTTGAATTTTCTGTCAAGTGGGCCTAATGTGTGAGAAGATGACAAATGGGACCAGCCCCAAAATATAATGGCCCAAACAATGTTAAAAGGCCCGGCCCAGAAATAATTAAAAGGGTGAAATGGGCTTGGCCTATGTAACTGGCAGGAATAAAATACATTTAAAAGGCTGAATTGTTGGGCTAGGCCCATGTAGAAAATAGAATTGGACCGGGCTGATTCTTGTGCCACATCAGATTGCCACGTCGGATGCCTACGTGGCCTGGGAAGGCTGCTAGTGACCAAAACAAAACAATAGGCATATTTTGGTCGTAAACGTCTATGACCTTCTCACAGAGAAGGTCGTTAATTTCAGTTTACGACCGCCAGCTTTTGACCTTCTGTTTTTGGTCACAAAAAGGTCGCAAATGAAAAACAATGACCTTTCAGTGACCAATAGTCAAGGTCACAAGTTGACATATTTCTTGTAGTGTGGCTTTCTTCTCTGGCGCCTTATAGGGTGCCGGTACCAGCATCTTCGCCAGGCACGGGAGGACTGGTTCCTCAGGCAGCGGAGCCGGACACCGAATCCGCTCCGATCTCTCCGTCCATACCTGAAATAATAAAGTTTTGATATCCTCCTTGAAACAAGCAAGTAGAGGATGTGTAAAAGGCTTAGCTCATTGGCGGAATGGGTAATGTCTTGCCCGCGGTCCGAGTCTATGACTGGCGGCGTCTTGTTGCCTTTAAAGAGCAACTTCCAGGTATCTTCGTGAGTGGTTCTGAAGAGCCTTTCGAGGCTTTGGTGCTTCTTCGGATTGAATTCACATAAAGGGCGGCTTCAGCTTTGTCATGGGAGAATCCAGCAAACTAGCATCACCTGGATTACGTCGACGAGCTTGACGTTTTTATCCACCATGCTTTGAATGCGCATTTGCAGCGCTATCAGTTTGTCTGACGAAGACCAATTTGGACCCTTCTCAATCCAGGAGGTGAGCCGCATTGGAGCTCCGGAGTTGAATTCGGCAGCCACGGCCCAGGCGGTGCCACGGGGCTCTGTGGTGTAGAACCCAGTTCCTGCCACTCCTTGGCAGTCTCCACGAAAGTACCTTTTGGCCAGGTGACATTCGGCAGCTTGCTCACCATGGCGCCCCCGCACTCCGCATGCTGACCATCCACCACCTTAGGCTTCACGTTGAAGACCTTGGGCCACAGTCCGAAGTGGGGTTGGATGCAGAGGAAAGCCTCACACACGATAATGAATGCCGAGATGTTGAAGAAAGAGTTCGGAGCTAGATCATGGAAGTCTAGCCCGTAATAGAACATCAGCCCGTGGACAAAAGGGTGGAGTGGAAACCCTAGCCCGCGGACGAAATGAGGGATGAATACCACCCTCTCGTTGGGCTTCGGTGTAGGGAAGACATGCCCCTTGGTCGGAAGACGGTGGGCGATTTCCTTCGCCAGATACCCGGCCGCCCGAAGGTCAGTAATGTCCTTCTCCTTCATGGAGGAGGCCATCCACTTTCCTTGACCTCCGGATCTAGACATGGTTGAGTGCTTGCTTGAGTTGGGAAAGATGAGAACTTGGGTGCTGGAGCTCAAGAATGGAAGGGCAGAGGAAGAGAGAAGGCATGGGAGAAGAAAGGGAGTCCGTATCCCCTTATAAAGGTAGTGAATATCGAATGCCTCCCCACTCGCCCTAAATCTTGCCTATTCCCAAGGGCTATGCAAATGGCACGGTTGGATTACCCACACCCGTATTAATGAGAATCCCGCAATAAGGGGACACGATCTCTGCTTTGACATGACGTGCCAATGGAAACCGCATCTCGAAACGTAGAACGGCAGACAAAAACGGTTTGATATAATGACCGGACAGACGTGATGTCATCTTGCAAAAAGTTGTCAGCAGATGAGACTCGTGAAATATTATACTCTTTACGGCTATGTGTGTGGTACTTGTGTTGCAGATCCAAACACATTCGTTTCATTCGAAGACCATCTTGGTGTATTTGGAAAGGGGAACCCGCCTTGCAATGCCGAAGACAATCTGCGCGCCGGACATCTCGTCATTGAAGCCTGTCCGTCCTGTTCAGGGGCTACTGAGGGAGTCCTGAACTAAGGGGTCCTCGGGCGTCCGTCCTGTTGGACATGGGCCGAACGAATGGGCTGTGAAGATACAAGACCAAAGACTCTCTCCCGTGTCCGGATGGGACTCTCCTTCGCGTGGAAGGCAAGCTTGGCGACCAAATATGGAGATTCCTTTCTCTGTAACCGACCTTGTACAACCCTAGTCCCCTCCGGTGTCTACATAAACCGGAGGGCTTAGTCCGGATTGAGATATATTCTATCATAGTCATACAGGCTAGAATTCTAGGGTTAGCCATTACGATCTCATGGTAGATTAACTCTTGTAATACTCATATTCATCAAGATCAATCAAGCAGGAAGTAGGGTATTACTTCCATAGAGAGGGTGGGTAAACATTGTGTCCCCCGTCTCCTGTTACCATCGACCTCAGACGCACAATTCGGGACCCCCTACCCGAGATCCGCCGATTTTGACACCGACAGACGGCCCAAAGAATGTCATGCAGCTGCATCTCCGGCCCGCCTAGGACAAAGGCCCATTTTCTGTCATGATTTTTTTCATAGAAGTAGGAGCCCACTACAAATATGATGACACCGGGGTTTGTCACAATTATCGTCATAGAAGTGTCATAAACATGATAGGAAAAAAATCCGTTCATCCCAAAATGTCATGGATGTGTCTTTTTTGTAGTGATAGGATACCCAAAAAGAAACTGTTGGGTACACCTTCTATCAAATATCTGAATGCAAGATATTTGTTGCTAAGAATGGATCCTATCTAGAGAAGGAGTTTCTCTCGAAAGAAGTGAGTGTTGGGGAACGTAGTAATTTCAAAAAATTTCCTACACACACACAAGATCATGGTGATGCATAGCAACGAGGGGGAGAGTCTGATCTACGTACCCTTGTAGATCGCAACGGAAGCGTTGACACAACGTAGAGGAAGTAGTCGTACGTCTTCTTCCCGATCCGACCGATCCAAGCACCGTTACTCCGGCACCTCTGAGTTCTTAGCACATGTTCAGCTCGATGACGATCCCCGGGCTCCGATCCAGCAAAGCTTCGGGGAGGAGTTCCGTCAGCACGACGGCGTGGTGACGATCTTGATGTACTACCGACGCAGGGCTTCGCCTAAGCACTACAACGGTATGATCGAGGTGGAATTTGGTGGCAGGGGGCACCGCACACGGCTAAGGAACGATCTCAATGATCAACTTGTGTGTCTAGAGGTGCCCCCTGCCCCCGTATATAAAGGATCCAAGGGGGAGGGCTGGC